AGAGGGGGGAGCCTGCGAGTATCGAGTCCTAGTACGGCGTGGATCAGTCCGGCCGAGCCGACGTTCTGCGCAGAGGCGCTCGCTTCAGAAGGCTCGCTGCGGCGTTTTGTTGTTGTTGTTGTTGCTTTTTGTTGTTGCATCGTACTACCCTGAGAGCGTTATTAGTCTTGCTGGCCCGGGTCCCGGCCCAGATCCGACTCCAAAGAAAAGCAGCTGAACAGGAACTTGGAGAAAGTAGGATCTGGAGGACGGAGCCTTTCAATACAGAGCGTCTTGCGACGGGGACTCACGCCGACGTGGTAGAGCAGCCAGGCAGGAGCCGCATCATGGGGTTGCCAATTTCTAATGTGGGAGGATGGCGAGGATGGGGAGGAGGAGCAGCAAGCCCAGATGATGGGCCCACGGATCAGGATGACGAGGATGATAATGGTGAGGATGAAGATGATGACTATGAAGATGAGGACGACGGGCGTGATGACGATGATGACTAACGTGATGACGATGATGACGATGATGATGATGATGATGATGATGATGATGATGATGATGCTGATGATGATGATGATGATGATGATGATGATGATGATGATGATGATGATGATGATGATGATAATGATGCTGCTGATGATGATGATGATGCTGATGATGACGCGGATTCGGACGACATGATGATGCTGATGATTATGATGATGCTAATGATGGTAGTGGTGGTTGATGATGATAATGATGATGCTGCTGCTGCTGATTTTGATGATGATGTTGATGCTGTCGATGATGATAGTGCTGATGATGCTGGTAATGATGATGCTGATGATGATGGCGATTCTGATGATGTTGCTGATGAGGATGATGCTGATGATGATGCTTATAGTGGCGATGATGATGCTGATGCTGCTGGTGATGATGCTGATGATGATGATGGCTTAATGTGATGATGCAGATGCTTTGGATGATGGTAGTGATGATGCTGATTTTGATCTTGATGATGATGCTGATCCTGTTGATGGCATTGCTGCAGATAATGATGATGCTGATGATGGTACTGGTCATGATGATGCTGATGCTGATTATGTTGATGCCGTTGATGTTGATGCCGTTGATGTTGATGTTGTTGTTGATGCTGATGATGCTGCTGCTGATGATGATGTTGCTGATTCTGATGATGCTGATGCTGATGCTGCTGATGATGATGCTGTTGCTGATGCTGATCATGCTGATGTTGCTGCTGCTGATGTTGATCATGCTTATGATGATGATGCTGATGCTGATGCTGATGCTGATGCTGATGCTGATGCTGATGATGATGATGATGATGCTGACACGGAGGAGGATGAGGAGGAGGAGGAGGAGGAGGAGGAGGAGTTGGAGGAGGAGGAGGGAGGAGATGATGATGATGATGATGATGATGATGATGATGATGATGATGATGATGATGATGATGATGATGATGATGATGATGATGATGATGATGATGATGAGGAGGAGGAGGAGAGGAGAGGAGGAGGAGAGGAGGGAGGAGGGGAGGTGGAAGGAGGAGGGAGGAGGAGGTGGAGGAGGAGGAGGAGGAGCAGTAGGAGGAGAAGGATGAGGATGAGGATGAGGATGAGGATGGGGTTTGTTGATGCGACGGTGATGGCGAGGATGACAAAGACGATTGTGAGGGTGACGACGATGCGGGGGATGTCCATGACGACGATGATCAAGGTGATGATGCCGAGTGTGATGGTGACCATGCGGTTAGTGTCAACCGCGACAGGCGGCGGGCGCTCAAGCCCGGTGAGCCACGCTTTCGTGCTTCTGCCTCCGCTCGTGCCCCGCTCCTGCTTGTTCTGCTGCTTCTGCTCCTCCTGCTTCTCCTCCTGCTCCTCCTCCTCGCGTTCTCCTCCTCCTCCTCCTCCTCCTCCTCCTCCTCGTCATCCTCTCCTCCCCCTCCCCCTCCCCCCTCGCCCTCCCGCTTCCCCTCCTCCTCCTCTTCTTCCTCCTCCTTCTCCTGCTCCTCCTCCTCCTCCCCCTCCCCCCCCCCTCCCCCTCCCCCCCTCCTCCTCCTCCTCCCCATCCTCCTCCTCCTCCTCCTCCTTCTAGTCCTTGTTCTTCTCCTCCTCCTCCTCCTGCTTTCCAAAGACTCGCGGGAAAGAGCACGCTGACCTCGATCAAGATGTCGCGGGATCTTGCCGACTCTTATCTTGGTCATGGTCCACGCCTGCCGCCGCCGATCCGCGAGGATGATCCGCGAACTGGCGCTTGCCAAGATGGACGGTGACCAAGATCGACACCGACGCTTCCACGTTCAGTCCTGGTCATGGTCCCCGTTTTCTTCCCCTCCGTCCTCTTGCCTCCCCCCCGAGACATCCGACGATTGTGTGTTTCTTTTGATCTCCCATCCGCGGCCCCAGAGATCCAGGCCCCTGCCCCTGGGGGCATGTTCCGCCCCAGATCCACCTCCGACGGCCCCGGGGGCCTGAAGCTCCAGGCCTCCCAAGACTGGGGCCCGATGGGGGGGGAGCAGGTCTCGGAGTTCGTCGAACATGAGGTCAAGTCCGAACTCTTCCCCGCCTACCATCGATTCGGGAGAGTCGTTGGTTGGCGGGGGTAGGGTTCGTATGTCGTCGCCGGGATTCCGAGCAGGTCGCGTCGTCGGCGATCCGGGTTTGTTGCCACGGCGGCTCCCGCTGCCGCCCGTGCCTGGGCCCCCCCGCCGCCGCTCGTGCTCCTGCCGCGGCAGCTGTTGCACACGCGCCCCCGGCCCCCACCCGAAGCCCATCCGTCGCCGACCGCCCCCCCCTCCCAGAGCCCTCCTCCTCCTCCTCCTCCTCCTCCTCCTCCCCCTCCTCCTCCTCCTCCCCCTCCTCCTCCTCCTCCTCCTCCCTCCTCCTCCTCCTCCTCCTCCTCCTCCTCCTCCTCCTCCTCCTCCTCTACTCCCTCCGTCCTCGCCTCTCCTCCTCCCTCCCCTCCTTGCTCTCGCCGTCCCTCTCTTGCCCTCCCTGTCCCCCCCAATGCCCTTCTGGCTGGGAAGCTCTCAGGAGCCCAACTTGGATGATAATCCATCCTTCCAACGCTAAGGGATTTCTTCCATCACACGCGCTGTGTTGGAAAGGCGCCATAGGCCTCGTCCCATCTAAGACGAGAGGGGGGTGGTTGAGTTCATTGTATTGTATTGCGTTGCCTCGTATTGCACTACACCCAAATTGCAGTGCATTGTACTGGATTGCGTGATATTGCGCTACACTCTGCATTGCACTGCATTGGGTTACAAGGCTGCACTCTCTGCGTTCGGCTGCGTAACACTGCATTGACCTGCATTGCAATGCGTTGCGTTGCACAATCTTCTCGATATGTGAACCGTGCCACACGGCGCGTCATGATGCGAAGGCATGCCGAGGCCCTGTGGGCGTGGGGTTGCGAGGTCCTCCAAATATGGTTGCAGAGGGTTTGTGGGCGGTGCGAGGCCCTCCAAATATGCGTGAGCCCTACCCCGCCCCTCATGAAACAACGAAACGTTTTCCGTAGCCGTCCTGTCTCAATGAAGTTTGCATCCTTTCCGTCGAACCCTTGAGCGTCACATGTCACATGTCGCAACAACGGCACGCGGCTACGATAGATGAGTTTGTCGCTTTCGCTGATGAGACAAGAGGCTTCAATGACCTCATTGCGAGCGGATGTGTTCGGTTGATCGACGCAGCTCGCCTTTGTATACGCCTTGCAACGAGCGATATAGCTGATGTGACGCCACGTAAGCTGAGATATGAAATCAAATCGATTTTGGAACAAGATGGCGTGGCAATATCTGCGGCTGGCACGTTCCCCAAATAACACCTTCCTGGAGTTATACGGCTGTTCGCAGGTGTACCGTTTGAAGATTTTGACCTGTGGTCGGTGGAGCCTCCGACTCCTCCGCCGAAGCGGCGACGCGGTGGTCCTGATCCTCCTCCTGTTTCAGAATTGCCGCTGGTAGCTGCAGCTGCAGGAGCCGATCTGCCTGCGCCTTCGGCGTCTAGTTCGAGCGTGGTGTTGTACGATAGCAGGTACGATGGCTGGCAAACCCCTGAGCTCGTCGATGCCCTTGCCAGGAAAAGTAATGAAGTTGCTGGAATCAAACGAGAACTGTACGATGTTCGTCGGCAGGCGAAGGCAGCAAAAGACAAACTCACTGAACTTGAGCACCAGCTTGTAGAAGTGAACCGTGCGCACTATGCAGAGCTCGAGCGCCTACGATTCAGAGCAAAAGGCAAGAGGAATATTACTCGTGTGGGCGCCTACTACCTGGCCTTGCAGCGTCAGCACGGGGCTTCGGCAAAGGCCGCAGTGGCGATGATGGCCAGCGATGAGGCTCAGGACGCACTCAAAGACTACAAGGTTGTGTACCGCCACGAAATATTTGCAGCAATAGCCTTGACAATCAGAGCAAAGCGTTACTTCCAATCCGCCTTTGAGCCTATGTGTGATATGGTTGAGGTTGGGCATGGTGAGCAAGTTATCCATTTGAAGTGCGATGCGACTCACGACAAGATCTGCGCTGGTGATAAGATGCACGTCGCATTTGTTGAATCAGTTGCAGTGCCTGACATTCGGCGCCTCCATGGTGGTGCAGGCGTTGTGGATCGAACATTTTGCTGCGATCTCCAACCTGTCATACACGGCACGGGCGTAGAAGCATATAATATGATGATGGCAGACCTGGCGAGCGTGGGGGCACCAACTTGGGAAGACTACTGTAGCGGCGCAGCTCACCCTCACGGGGCGCATACCACTTATATCTTCGGGCTGGACAGGGGTGGCGAGAATCAAGCATCTACGAAACTGGTAGCTGCGGCGGTCAGGGGGTGCTTGTTCGTTTCGTGGGCAGTTGGTTGGTGTCTTTTTCACAGGCTGGATGCGATTGTATTGCAGATCATCAACATCATGGATGCGTGGACATGGGGTGCCGAGTGCAAGAAAGGCGAAGCTCCCACCAGTACCTTTTTCTCTGGCGTGTCAACGCTGTCGAATGTGTGGCGAGCAACTGGGAACCACAAGAAGATAAACAAAGTTGCATCGGAGAACAATTTCACGCCGTTGGAATGCAAGTGTATCTTCAAATTACCTGGGAAGTGCTTGAAAGGTAGATGGGGGTCGCTGTACGGAGTGCTCGTGATAATTATCGGCGCTGTCGTGATCCTGAGGGTCGTCTTCGAATCTATCTGGGGGAAGCTCGGCGCCCTTCTTGAGGTTGCGAAGGCTGGGCGGCGCGACGACGACGACGTCGCCCAGATCAGGGCCAAGGCTAGAAACAGCAGGAGGCGGGCGGTGTCATTGATCGGATGTGACCTCTTTGTGGCCATGATGATTTCTGCGAAGGTTGCCCTCGACCCCTCATGCGGTTGTTTTTCTGGGGCCAGAAGCAAGTCAAACTTCACAGTCGTTTGAAAGATACAGCTCGGAAGCAAGGTGGTATTTATATTGGCGAGACTCCTTTATCGAAGCTTGCGTGTGGTGGTGTTGGAGCGGCATGCAGAGATGATATATTTAGACTTTTGCACGACAATGCGATCGAGGACGCAGAGATGTGGGGTCAGATCTGGGATTATGTTCCAGAGCATCTTGAGCCAGCGGCTGTGTTGCTCGTAGCTAGTCTTGGGTTGGGCATTGCATGTAGCTACGATTATAGGATGATGGGCTACTTCTCTTCTTGGCACCTGCAGATCTTGAAGATTGCCGAGGTGCCGCCCCAGGTCAGTCCAGGTAATACCTTAATACCTTACCCCCCATTCGTCCGAAACCTTGAGCGTAAGAACATGCTAGTGTGTATGTGTGCATGTATGTTCGAATGATTGTCTGTCTGTCTGTCTGCCTGTCTGTCTGTCTGTCTGTCTATCTGTCTGTCTGTCTGTCTGTCTGTCTGTCTCTGTCTGACAGTGCGTCCGCCTGTCGGTCTGTCTGTCCGTCCGTCTGTCTGTCTGTTAGATACACGCGCACCTCACCAGTCAACTTCCCCCATCCTCTGGGGCCCTGGGTGTCGGCGGAATGGCGTGAGCCTCCTGGATGTAATATGTTAGTGGAAATGTATGCGCGTAGGTACATTCGGTACACAAGTTACACGCATCCCCCGTCCCCCCTGGCGATCTTCGTGGCCTCGTCATTCGTAATCGCTGCCGGCTGGCTGGTCTAATCTCGGGGCAGTTTGGGGCCTCCCCTCTCCTCGCAGTTGCCTTCGCCTAAGTCCTGGGTCCTCGGTCCTCCACCTCGAACCTCTACCTCCTCCCGCTTCTCCTCCTCCTCCTGCTCTTTCTCCTCCTCGATTTCCTCCTGTCCCCTTGCAGGTCTCTCTCGGTGCTGCTGGTCTGACGTCTTACTCTCCTCCTGCTCTCGCTCATCTTCCGTCCTCCCTCTGTCCTCACTCGCTCCGCCTTCTCGCCTCCCGAAGGTGGCCGACGATGCTCGCAGGGACCTTGCTCTGCGGCTACTGGCTGCGTCCGTGGACGACTTGAGCACGCCCGAGGGCGACTTCCCCTGGAAGCTCAGGGAGCGGTACAAGAGGGAGATCGAGGATGCTTCGCGGGACGGTCGCTGTGACGCATCACTTCACGGAGCAGTCTCGCTTTACCGAAGCAAGCTTGACTTCCAGACCCAAGATCTCGAGGGCAGGAACTCGAAGCTGCAGGGTATCTTCACCAGAGCTCCCGCCATGGGGCGATCGCTTGCGAACGCGAGGATGTCGATGTGCTTCGGTGAGAAGATCGCAGCTCGAGAATGCGAACGAGAACGCGACGCTGTTGTGGAGCACACAAAGACTTCAGAGCACGCGAACCAGTTCTGCCAGATTGTTGTAAGGAAGCCCATGGAGGCTGCGCCCCCGCCAATCCCAGGCCGCGCCGAGGACTTGGACGAGCCAGACGACCTCTTGTGCCGCGCCCTCGCAGTTGTTTGCCGCAAGGTTTGCGCGGACGAGAAATGCAGCATCAACGCGTCGATGGTATACAAGGTTGAGGCCGTGAACGGCGAGTTCTTCTACGCGGCGTTCGGGTGGACGTACTGCGCGAGAGTCTTTGCGATCGAGTGCCAGATGACGGACCACGACGACGATGGCGCGCTCGCATGGAAGTTACTGCATCCGATACAGCCACGGGCACTCGACGCCATGATCAAGCTGAATTGCACAGCCGAGGCCTTAACACCTCGGACTTTGACAATGACCGCATACCCAGTGTCATTTTCGAGGCCTACGAAATTTCTGAGGACATGTCGGATTGGTCACCCTGGCATCAAAGAACACGCGGTGCAACTCCCAAAGCGAAAGAAGAGGCCACGGCGTCCACGACCAGGAGCTGCAGACGGCGATCATGTTCTTGAAGACGCAGGTGGCGATGACGATGAGGACGGTGGCGGCGAAGAGGAAGAGGTCGACCTCGACGTGATGATGGAGGAGTTGCTGGAGGAGATCGAGGGCGTCGAAGAGGATGAGGAGCATGCTGCCGATCCAGTCGCACCTCGTGAGGATGAAGAGCGGGAGGAACACGTCGAAGACCAGCCGTTGGACCCAGATGGCATCGAGCCCGAACCTGACCCATACGTTCCCGACGACGAGCCCGAACCAGACCTCGATGATGCCGTCCACGCGGGGCCCGAGCCAGCTGGCCCTGCCCCGCTGGTACCACTCGCAGTTCGCGAGAACAAGGATCGCGTCCAGAACGCCAAAGCCGAAATGGATATTCGCAATGCTCGTCCCATCACGGACGATTGCACGTCCCTTGTGAAGTTGATTACCGACGACGGAGTCGAGGAGGTGCTGTTCATTGCGTGGACCGGCTTCGCTAAGAGACTGGGCAGGAAGCAGTCGCTGGACAAGAATAACAAGCCCATCACGATCATCGGCTTCGCAGTGCCCGTGAAGGACTACAGCAACTCGCTAATCATCATTGGCGATGCACCCGTGGTCCGAGGTAAATTCAAAAAGCACGAGCGGCCTGACATCCCAGAGTGGTGTCTGTTTATCGAGGAGCTCGAGAGCATTCGGATATGGCCTGGACCCGCTGAGGGCGACGGGTCCTGCGTGCAGTGTGCCACCCAGACCGACGACCCCATGTACAAGTGCACCGAGTGCTTGTCCGCGTGGCACGTTGGCTGCGCCCGCGCCAAGAGCACTCCAGTGGGCCCAGCCTTCACGTGCGTGGGATGCGCCCACTGAGGGGTGCGCTAGACGGAAACATCCTCTCGGTCCTTGTCCTCCCCTGGCAACTCTTCAATATCATTCTCTCTCAACCTCCCGATCCCCCCTCATCATTCACCACCTCCTCCCCTCCACCCGCGCCCTCGTCAATCACTTCTGTCGCCCCGTCTGCCACCCCGAGAGACCCGACAACCCAGGGCGACCAGGAATTGTTTTCAGATGTCCTGTGTGTGAAAAGCAACGGCGCGCACCCAGTGCTATTCCTGTGCGATTTCCTGTGGATTTGCCCCGGTGGGAACAACGGGAGCGATGTCAAATCGAGTGCACAAAACAGTTTGACATCACGAAATACGGCGTATTGAATTGCCCTGGCCGCTTCAACTTTGCCGCGCATACCTTGAAATAAAACGGAATGTAGGTAAGATATCTTATGGTTTCTATTGCGTGTAGTTGTATCTTCCACGGGATGGAAGGGCGTCTTCCACGAGATGGAATGATGAGGACCTAGATCTTCCATGAGATGGAAGGGTGTCTTCCACGAGCTGGAAGGGCGATGCCCTTGCCTCTTCCATGAGCTGGAAGGGCGTCTTCCATGAGATGGCAGACCTCTGGATCAGGGCTTCCATGAGATGGAAGGGCGTCTTCCACAGGATGGAAGGTCGCCGACGGTCACCACTCCAGCAGATGGAAGACCAGACCCAGCGGCCTTCCACGAGATGGAAGGACGCCTCCCGCGTGCTTGGGTTCACGATTCTCTGTCGGCTGGTGTTGTTGATATTCAGGACGCTCTCGCGTTGAGCCGCGGCCTGAAAACGTGCGCCCTACCCCCAAAACCCAAATTGAATTGGAAATGTTCTGCGGGGAAATGTGAAACTGAATGTCGGGACGACGAAAAATAGTTCCGTGCGCGCGTCGTGCGTGCTTTGGGCGTTGGCTTCCTCCTTCCCCTCCTCCGCCTCCTCCTCCTCATCCTTCTTCGCCCCCTCCCCCTCCTCCTCCTTCTCCTCCCCCCCCTCCTCCTCCTCCTCCTCCTCCCTCCTCCTCCTCTGGTGGCCGCTCGTCCGACCTATTCTACAAACTTTTAGGATAGGTCGCTGCACGGGTTCTCCTCCCTCCTCCTCCTCCTCCCCCTCCTCCTCCCCCTCCTCTGGCCGTCGTGCGTGAGGTTGTGGCGTTTCTGATCCCTCCCGACGTCCCTTTCACGGCCGCGTAGGGCGCCTGAAACGGCTCCCGCAAGCAAGCAACGTAGAGCAACTAAAACGGCCGTGTCAGATGCTCTACGGGCGGGCGGGCGGGTGGGTGGAAGTGCGCGCAAGCGGCCGCCGCTGGACTGGTCATAGACGCCGCTCGCCCGCCCGCTTCCTCCTCCTCCTCTTCCTCCTCGTTGGGCCTCCTGGCCTCTTGGGCCTCGTGGGCCGTGGGCCTCTTGGGTCATTGGCCAGTTCCCTATTGGGCCTTGGGCCTCTTGGGCCTCTTGGCCTTTTAGGCTTCTTGGTTGGCGGGCCTCTTGAGCCTCTTGGGCTTCTTGGCTACTTGGACCTCTTGGGCCTCTTGGCGCGTTGGACTTTTGGTTACGTAGCCAATATGACTGGCTCAAGCGGGTTGACGCGCACCACCTTTGCACTGCTTGTGCTGTTGTGCCGTGCGGGTGACAGGGGTGAAGTCCGACGGTTGCCGCCGATGGCGGAATCGATTGTGGTCGCAGAGGCAGCACAAGGCGGCCCTCCGAGCGAGGCACGACCCCACGATGCTTTGGTGCCAGCCGCGGCCTCGCTTCCTACCATGACCGAGCTGCAACATAACAAGTACACTGCCTGCCCATCGTTCGTAGCTCGAGTTGGGGAGAGGCCACTTCAAGAGCAGAAGCAGATCTGTGACAGCCTCTACATGATCGATCCTCCATACAACCTTCAGCTCGTTGATGCGGACGGCGAATGGACGACTCTGCGGGGCCCGTGTAACGCTGGCCGTGGCGGTAAAGGATCCGTGGAAGAGAAGCAGCAGTCGGTGGAGGAAGTCGGCATCATTGCAGTTCGGGCACCACCGAGGATGCGAGAGAAGGTAGTTGAAGGTAAGAAGAAACATGCACTGCTCAGCTGGGCGACGTTGCTGGAAGGCGCCCGCCTTGCATACGAGAAGGACAATGAGAAGGAGAACAAGGCCCTTCAGCTATCCATTGCCAATGGCATCCAGAGGGCAGAGTTGTACGAGTCTGCCATGCCAGTCGACGCCGCTAAGTTCATCATCAACTTCGACAACCAGGTCAACGCAGTCGTCACGGCCATAACGTTCGTAGAGTCTGCCATGCGTACTTCAGAGGTCGAGCCTGCGTGGAAGCAGAAGAAGGATAAGATGTGCTGGGCTATTGCTGGCCTGACACAGCCAGTTCATGACTCTAAGAAGCTCAAATTCGCAAATGGAATGTTCCCGAAAATGTGGTGTAGCTACGCGCACTACGAGGAGACGAACTTCTGGTTCAAGGAGAGCAATAAGGAGTGATCACTCGGGGCCCCTCAGCTGAGAAGCACGGCAGCACGACGGTTTGGAAGGAGTTCGAGGCCAAGGCATTGGAGTTGGTTGACTTCTCGAGCGAGCCCATGCAGGACCATTTGTTCGTGACCCGCGTGTGCGCAACAGTCTTCAGGAAGTTACGGGGCGGCCCATTCAACTACATGATAGTGGATATCATCATGCTGTTCCTCAAGATGCGGCCCAGCAAGAAGCTGGGGCAGTGCAGGTGTGGGGGTCGTACGCGTGTTCTTTTTTTGTGATCCCCCTTCGAATTTTTTCAGCTGCCCAATCTAGAAGCACAACGTGCTCCCCCCAGGTTACCTGGCCCAGGTTGCATGCCGTTCAGATGTAGGCACGCGTATAACCCCTTAGGTTGCTTCCGTGTGGTCTGGAGAACCCTGCTTGCGAGTTCTCGGAGGAGGCGGTCAACTCCTTGCTCCAGGACGTCGCAGAGTCCGAGAGCCTGAAGGGGACGAGGCTCGAGCATGCGATGGCGATCGTCGCTGAGGCTGAGGCTAAGGCTGAGGCGGCGGCGCAGGAATATCAGGAGGAAGGTGAAGCCGACTCTGCCGAAAAAGGATTTTCCAAGACAAAGCCCAAGCCGAAAGCCAAACAAAAAGGAAGGAAGAAGTGCCAGCCTGCCCCGGAGTCATTGGCAGAGATGGAGTCGAACAGCAAGCGCGCGATCTCGCTCATCCAGGCCATCGCCGACTACATGAGGACAAAGATCGACAGGGCGCACGTCCAGGAAGACAAGATCGCGGCCTTCGTGAACATTGCCATGGCAGGCGTCATGAACGACAAGGTCATTCTCAAGCCGATGCCGAGCATGAATGAGAAGGTCATCAAGGGGTTGAGCAGCTTGAAGAAGGTGTTCAAGGCTGATGCGTACATGGAGGCTTCTTGTGGGGTAAGCAAAAAGCAACCGCCCTCAAACCTGATTTTCCAGCCGGCCTTCTTGGGCAACAGACTGCTGCCGGCTTGGTTTATCCCCCTGGGTCCTTCGCCCTTCAGGACAGATGCGCGGTTGTTTTTTGTTTTCCCCTGGGGCTGCCCTCCAGCCGAGGCCATCGGATACCGATTTCAATGCCAAGTCGAATCTCCAAGAGATCGTCTCCTGCCTGGATGATCGCGGGCCGCAGCTTACGGCATACGGCGCCACCGAGTTGATCGACGACCTCGCGGCGTCGGCCTTCCACCTTCTTCAGTACATGACGGAGTGTCCGCCTGGGGCGCCATTGCTCGGGCTGAAAGGGCCAGCAGACAGCATGAATGCAGCGATGATGGCGTGCTTGTCGGCCAGCAACCTCAAGGAGCAGGGGGGCGCCTTCCATGCGAAGAAAGACGCGCAGGACTGTGTGACACAGAACGCCCTCCAACAGGTCAACGCTACATTACCAGACAGGTTCGACTCGGTCATCGAGCTCATCAGGAGGATCGAGAACAGCAACGATCAGGACATCATCGACGTCATGTTGAAAAACCAAGTGTTCAGCAGGCTGAAGGAGAGCAACGTGGGTTTCACCTACATCTTCAATCGGAGGCTGCAGCTGTTCATTCACATCGCTTCAGGGATCGGGTCCCAGAAGTGCATTATTCGCCAAGGGCCAGTGGCGGCCGATACTGAGTACTTGACTCCGCTTGTGCTCAACGTGCTGAGAGGGTGCTCTGAAGATATCGGCAAGCTGAGCAGGCCAGACATGGAGTACTCCCTGCTGGGCACGCTTGCGCAGGACATCGGCGCCAAGAGTTTCAACGAGATCGCGCGTCTGATGATGGACACGGCCTACGACTTCCACGACTTCTGCTTGGCCAACGACGGCGTCAAGTTCAGTGCAGAGAAGGAGCAGTTGCTTGCGTGCCTGCAGAGGTCGACCACTGGGCAGTTCAACAAGCTTGCGAAGGAGAAGGTGAAGAGTCCTACCCTGATGGAGGTGGGCGACGACATCATCGTGGCGAAGCGGGCTGAGAAGGCAGCGCGCGTGGTCAGTGAGTTTGCCGCAGAACGTCCACACCTGGCCCGAGCATTGAGCATGCTGATCGACCCGTTCGGCATCCTCGTGAAGGACTTGATGGAGAAACACATCGTTACGCGCCAGCCTCCCGTCGTGGTCGCAACTACTGCGGCTAAGGTCGACGCGAAGAACAACCCCGTGCCACTGCTGGCGCACATGGCCACCGTGTGCAACGGGGAGCGGCAGACAGAGCCGCCTGAGCCCAAGTACGGTGAGCTGCCCGACGTTGTGCTCAACGAGTTGAAGCAGACTGTGGGCCTCGAGATTGCTCGCCTTCGTACCACCGACGTCGGAGACATCTTCTGCGAGGTCAAGACGGCTGGGAAGCGGACCATACTTGAGCTATCTCGGCGTGAGACAAAGGACTCGATTGGAAAGGTGCTGAAAGTCGAGCTACCATACATCGGTAAGGTCATTGACGCCATCAAAGCTGAGGGGACTTCGAAGAACGTGCTCATGGAATTGAAGCCTGTGTCCAGGGAGGGCTACATCGACGGCCCCGAGCTCTTCTTGGACGGTTCCAACGTGATGAATCCGAAGCGCTCGACTTTCTGCCCAGCATTCGCAGTGCCCCTCATCCCGAAGCCGACGACGACGACAGATACTAAGAAAAACGGGATGCTTGCTGAGGGTGAGGAGCCTGATAAGAAAAAACTGAAGTCGATGCACGGGCTGAAATACACTCCACACGGCACGCTCCGTGTGGCCTGGAACGACTTCGAGGTTAAAGTCATGGACGGCCTTACGCAGTTGAAGTTCATGTACAGCAGGCCGTTTCTCACGAACACCGACGACTACGATCCCTCTGTGGCCCGCGGCAAGCCTGTCCATCGGGTCCGTTCGGAGTTTGACGATGTAGAGGTCAAGAAGTTCAAGAAGGACAAGCTCGCCAAGAAAGCGTTCGCCCAGCAGTAGACGACATACAATGACCAACCGCCGTCAGCAGCACAGCCCGTGCAATACAGAGGATACAGACTAGCAGCTCTCTCTGCGGAGAGCGTGGTGCAAAGCAACATCCTCAACATTGCATTCATTTTCTTACTCTTGCCCCCTCCTCCTCCTTATCCTCCTCGTCCGCTTCCGCGCTTCCGCCCCCCTCAATCCGTCCACGGTTATGCACTATGAATGCCACTCTTCTCTCTCCACTGGCGGTGTTCATGAATGCATGGGTTCAGTTGTGGCGCAAGGAACCTCAGAGGACCTAGATAGAAAAACTCAAGATACCAACACTCACCGTAACAAAAGCAACCATAGCACGTTAACGCACATCCACGTGATGAGTATGTGTGTGCATGATGCCAACATCGGGCTTATTGTATTTGTGTCAGAAGCCTCACGTGCATGCGCGTCGCTATGCATTACTATTATTGTTACAGAAACATAGAGATCTAAGGTAGCTGTACTACACGATAGTATTGTCTTGGGGGCTTGCAGAATTCAATTCTTATGATAATCGCACACGCATTGAACATCATACGACCTATAGGAGAAGCTATGTGAGAAGAAAAGGGCTGGAAGGAAAACCAATCGGGTGGAAGGACGTCCTGGGTGCATGCCACATCACGTTGCGAACTTCCCACTTCTGGCCTGCCCGGGCCTCCTCGCCCGCCTCCTCCTCCTCCTGCTCCTCCTCCTCCTCCTCCTCCTCTTCCTCCTCCTCCTCTTTCTCTTTTGCTTTCTTGTCCTCTTTCTCTTTCTCTTTCTCCTCCTCCCTCTCCGCGCGTGCCCCTCGGCTCCTCCTGCTCGGCGGGGGGGCAGCGGGAGGCACCGCAAAGTCCGGCGTGGGCATCTCCTCCATGGGCATCATGCGCCCGGACTTGGTGGCCGGAGCTCGGGGAGGAGGTGGACGAGGACTCGCAGGGGACAGCCAGCATTGAGGAGGGGGAGGAGGGGGAGGAGGAGGAGGAGGAGGAGGAGGAGGAGGCGGAGGAGGAGGAGGATGAGGAGGATGAGGATAGGGCGAGAGGAAGCAGGAGGTAGGATGATGACGGGGATGTTGAGGACGATGAGGGGAAGGAGAAGGAGGAGCAGGAGGAGGAGAGTGAGGAGGAGGAAGAGGAAAACATTGAGGAGCATGCACGATTATATGAAGAGGCCGATGCAAGTGAAATAGAGTGACCTATTGGGAGAGGCGAAGGGAGGGAGGAGGCGGCGGAGGCGGACATGGAGAATGGACCAGGCGGGGAGGGTGAGGGGGACAGTGAGAAATAGAAGGAGGAGGAAAGCAGGGAGGAGTTTGAAGAGGACGAGGAAGATGACAGGGAGTACATCATGGTCATGCTCACGATGCTGGAAACGACGATGGTTTTGACGACGAAGACGACGACTACGACGACGGTAGCGATGACTACGACGACGACGAGTGGGAATATGATCGTGAGATGTGGCAGTGCTTCCCCGAAGCCGTGGGTAGGCGAAGACCATTGCCTCACCACGGGCACCTGGAGCAAAACATTCAGACGGATTCTCCCCACAAACCCCGCGAAAAGAAAACGCAATGGCAGGATCAGCCAGCGCATATAACAAACAAACCAATCGGAACACTACAACGTCTTCACTGCGGACGTACAGCATGCGTGGTCGCACCGTGCGAGGTTTTGTGCCGCGCGGTTGCCCGGTTAGCACCACTTTCGCAAACACACACTTTGAAACTTACGCCTTTCTGCCGAGGGAGATCTGATTCGGCGGTGGACAAACCTCCCTTTAGTAGACCTCCCCTTAGTGAAAACGGCCTGGGACCGAAATCGACGGACCTGGACCCGCAAAGATGGCGGCCGCGACGCCCTCTCGCGAAACGAACACGGCCAATTCCTGAATCGACGCGTCAGGGCAGGAGGTCTGCCCGCCCCCGACTGATGGCCTTCGGCCCATCCTCCCTCCTGTCCTCGGCCTGCCTCCCTCTCTGCGTAAACCTTCGCCAGGTGGTGCGCTCCATCATCCCCGTGGTCATGGCCGGCGTCCTCGGCGCCGCCCCCCCCCCCGGGCCGGAAAACTGCGGGAGGAGCGAGGACGCGCGCGCGAGGGGTGCCCCCCTCGACCTCCTCCTCCTCGCCTCTCCCTCCCTCCTCGCCTTTCCCTCGCCTTTCCCTCCCTCGCTCCTCCTCCTCCTCGCCTTTCAATCTCTCGATATCCTCCTCCTCGCCTCTCCCTTCCTCCTGCCTGCCTGCCTGCCTGCCTGCCTCTCTCTCTGTCCGTCTGTCCGACGTCCCCGCGGTCGCAGCGTCGCAGCCTTCTGCTGAAGTCCCCGCGCTCGCACCGGAGCAGTCTGGCCGCGGCCCGAGGCACAGCTGTGCCGTTCCCCTGCGCTTTCGACGCCGCGCGGCGATCCGTGCCGTGGCCTCGCTCCGCAGGCACGGCCGAGGCGCGCCCGGGAGGCGTGGCCAGTCGGCGGACTGGCAACGTGGGGCCCGGAGAGTCTGTCTGTCCGTCTGCCTGTCTGGATGTCTGGCTGGCTGTCTGTCAGTCTCTGTATCTCTCTGGCTCCTCCTGCTTCTCCTGCTGATGCTGCTGCTGCTGCTCCTCCTCCTCCTCCTCCTCCTTCTCCTCTCCCTCCTCTTCCCCTTCCCTTCCTCCCTTCTCCCTCCTCCTCCTCCCTTCTCCCTCCTCCCCCCCTCCTCTTCCCCTTCCCCCCTCATGCTGCACCCCCAGGTCCAGCAATTCGACCGACGGGGCTTGTGCGGGCGCCAGGGGCCTCCAGAGGCCTCTGGAGGTCCCTGGAGGGCTCGCGGCCCTGACTCCGGATCCGCCGTCTTGCGAAGGCCTTACGGCTGGTGCCGTCGACCCTGAAGGGGGACGACGACGACGACGACGACGACGACGACGACGACGACGACGACGATGACGACGACGACGACGACGACGTCGACGAAGACGACGACGACGACGACGACGACGTCGACGACGACGACGACGACGAAGGCGACTCAAACGGAACAGCCTCTTCCACACGCCGACAGGTCGGCGGATTGTTTTGGCGATTCCGTAAGCTGGGCGGCGATTTTTGCTCTGCTCTCCTGGCTCCTTTGATGCCGCTGCTCGCACTATTTGGCGGTCGCTGTTCCCGCCACACCTCTGCGGAGACGCCCCTATCTTTTCCGGGGCGGACGTGTCCGCCCTCCACTTTCGCATCCTCTGGGCGTCCTCCCGACGCCCATGTAAAGCCAGGGATCCGACCAACGTGCCGTGCCGCGGATCCGAAGTCGGGGCGGGGTCTCCGGGGGCCTCGGGGGCCCCCAAGAGGCGCCTCCAGCAGGAGGCCCCCGGGAGGTCGAAGTCGCCCGAGAGCCTCGGCCGCCGATGCCCCTTCTCTGCGGCGAGCCCGGGGGGGGGGAAGTGAGAAGGGGCGGGCCTTGTTCTTTTGGCGGGGGCGGCCAAGAGAGGGGCTATGGCTACCAGGGGTGGGGAGGCCAAGAGGGGGGAGGCCAAGAGGGGGCCAAGAGGGGGGAGGCCAAGAGGCGGCCAAGAGGGGGGAGGCCAAGAGGGGGGGCCGGCCAAGAGGGGGGGGTGGATATCATGGCGGGGGCCATGAGATTTCCTCAGATCTCATGGCGCTTCTTCTGATGCCACTGCGTCCCAGGCCCCCCCTTGGGCCGCGGGCCATGATTCGCGCCCCCCCCCCCTCCCCGGACGCCCCCCTCTTGGACGCCCCCGGATTCTCGGAAGGCTCGGAAGTCCCGCCGCCTTCGGAGAAGTTCCCCAAGCCTTCCCCGAAGACAAGGGACGCCCTTTTCTCAGGAGGTGCGATGGCTTCGGAGAAGTCCCGCCGCCTGCCGAGAGGGTTTTTTTTTTCTCACTTCCCCCCCGCTCGCGGCCCATTTAGGGCATGTCGTGG